TTAGTTAAATCTGTGGAAGGGTGGGTAAAATTCAGATACATGTAGAGACTGGGGATGTGTTACAGAATAACTGCATAACTGACATAGCAAATGTTTAAAGCTAGGTCTACGTTAAGAAGCAAAAAAAAATTTAAAAATTTTATTTGAATTTTGGTTGCAACCTACATGTTCTAAATATATATGGTTCTTGCTGATATCTCCCTAATCTTTGAACCCGTTCCAGTCTTCATAAGTCATCATGGATCCTTGCATTGTATTTATTGATGGATGGATGGACAAATGGATAGAAATCATGCAGGAAGGATGGAGAACATAGAGAAAAATGTAACCAAATGAGTACTATTGTTTCTTTCTATGACATATAATCATGTAATAAGTGTGTATTAAGTATTCTGTGTCAAGCATGGTGCCAGGTTTTAGGGGATGCAAAAACAGAGTAAAAAACACAGACATGTTCTGAGAACCTTGTTACTTTTGCCCTTATTGTTAGTTTCAGCTTAAAAGTTAGGACTCTAAAATTTGAAATACAGGCTCACGGGGTTCAAATTCAGGCTGTACTCCTTCTGTGCTCTGTAATTTTGAGCAATTTACTTAACCACTTAATAAAATAAGGATGATGCCAATAATATCTATTTCTTGATGTTGTTTGGAGGATTAAATGAGAGAATCGTGTAAGAGCATTTAGTACAGCACTCAGCGCTTAGTGAGCATTCAGTAAATTATTCTAAATTAGCTTCATTCAAATACCTGCAGTAGGAACACCAAAATGAGAAAAGAAGGTTCATTTGTGTGGACACACACACACACACACACACACACCCTCACTCAAAACTGGTCTTACATTCACACTTCTCTTCCCTTTCCTCCTTCTCCCCTTTATCTGCTGCCTCCTCCTTCTCTTTCTATGACTTCAAAGTTAATTTTTTTAACAATGTACCATAAACTTTTTAAACATATAGCAATGTTGAAAATTTTTTTCCAGTAAATAACCATAAATAGGTGAGATTCTGTGCTCTAGGGGCACTGCATCACACTAATCAAAGTTACAAGGATCTAATGGATAAATAACAACATTGCTTGATCAGTGTTTAATGGGAGATGCAGCTAGAATAACAATGGATACCTAGTATATTTCTTTCTCCCTTATTCTCTGGTACTTGACTTCTGTCTTTTATTTAATGCTATTTTTTTGTATTGTAGTTCCTGTATTTTATTGTATTTGTTCATACTTCCTCTCTGGAATAGAAGAATTAAGAAACAAGGTATGTAAATAAATAAAAATAGATACTATGTGTTTACAAAGTGAAATCTCATGTAAGTCAATTCTTTCAAAAGAGGAAATCACAGATCAGAAGGTTGCTATGGTAAAGACAAATCAAAAAGAGGAAATTCAATGTTGTTGTCAAATACTTAGTGAAGCCACTAAAGTAGATCCGTTTCCATTCTAAATTATCTTTAAAGGTCACTTAGGACAACAGTTACCCCAGGGCAGTGTGGAAGAAAGTTATATTTAACCAGTCCTTACTCTCTAGCTTTCCTTTGGCTAATGCTGTCACTAGTTCACAAAAAGGCCATTATTGTATCATCTTTTGAAATGTTACAATATTCAAGATTATAGTTTCTCTTAAAATGTGATAAATGTAACAGTAACTGTCTCAATAGATTGAGAAGTGACTTAAATTCTGAAAAATACATGACTCTAAATCCCTCTGTAAAGTGGGTTCTTTGAGAACATCTCGTGTACTTTGGGTAGATTTTGGTAACTTTAATTATGAAAATTTTTCTAGGTGCCTTAGAACTTCTATATTCTTTCAAGCACATTTGATATCATTTGAGCTAATACCATCTCCTCCTGTTTAGGTCAAGCTGATAGAATCCAGCACAAGCAATATGGTGTCCAAACAATACTAGAGAAGGCAATATTATTTTTAAATTTTATTAAAGATATTTTGTATGTTCTTTAATAAATTGTTTTTTTAAATAATAGTTTTGAACATGTAGAAAGGACAAAACAAAAAGGATTGATTTAACCTAAATAGTCCTCAAAGATTGAAAATTGATATCACAGGAAAGGAAAGGATTGGGGCTTATGTGTGGCACAAGGAGAGCTGGGTAGAATTTCACATTTGGACAAACTGGGTAAGAGGAGTAAGCCTCTCTGAGTTATACTACCTTTTGGTCTTCATCAAATGAGATTGCACTGGCTTCCCAAATAATGGCCAAACAGAGGCAGAGCAGCTAAGGGCATTCCTTCCATGATGCCCAGTTTGGGAGAAGCCAAAATGAAATGACACAGTATAAAGCATGACCATATTGACTTCAAATAATCTTTGAGCATTGCAAAGCAGGAGGAGGAGATGAGAGTTAGGAGAGAATTGTGAAGCATTCTGAGGTGGGCATTGAAGCATTATTTCTCCCATTTAGATGGCACAAATGGAGGATTTTAAAGCATGTGATAACTTACTCCAGGGAAGAGCAGGGACCAGTATTAAAAACTGTAACTCAGCTGACTTTTCAAAGCATTCAAATAAGCATCCTTCTGGTAAAGAAAATTTAGTCAGATTCAAATGAGAGACTAGTCAGAAAAAGAAACAAAACAAAAACAAAAACAAAAAAACCCTGCTTCTGACATTGTTAATTTTCCAGACTACCAAGATCTATCATATACATAAAAACTCATCATTGAGCACTTGTGGAATAGGTATCTCTCACTTAAAGGAATGGTCATTGTCAGCAAAGTTTGCAGTACAGAGACTTTCCATCAAATCAATCTTATTCTCCCATTGATTTCCATTACGAAATCCAAGATGCATTCTGCTGTTAAATCCCATTAACTGCATACCAAGCCCTTTGGCAATGGCACTTTTAAAAGAAAAATGATAATATTCTGATAAAAACATTGACAGTGATATTTAACATATTAATAATTACACTGTGTTGTATTCAACATGTCACAACAAAAAATGCTCAGGATGAAACACAACACCATCTTACAAATTGTGCCTCACATGCCGCAAAAGCTAAGAATCCCCAAAATATTAGCAACTTGATTTCTCACTGGCTTCACAACTATCTGGGCATTTGTGTCATTGTACAGCAAAATTAATCCTTTTTACTGTTAAAAAAATTCTTTTTTCTCATTTCCTACTGGTTTCTTTTCCAAAATCTTTGTCCAGAGACCCCTGAAAGCTTGTGATGCTATTCTTAGATGGTGAAAATCATCCAATTAGGTTCAATCACAGCAGCTTATCCTAGTGCTTGCTGGGATCTCCTATCATTGGAGGAACTGGGCATCTCCTGAAAGCAATGTTGCAAAGGGAAGCAGTAGATCTGATGAAGGTTGGACTGGACACTTCAAATGTCTTTTCTGAGACACAGTACTACTCTCTCAGACATTGATATTGGTAATATGTCTGTGTTTACCATTTTATTTGCAACCTAAGTCCTTTGCATAATATATGTTAAATGACTGAATGGTTTACATAATATATGTTGAATGACTGATTGAATTCAAATGATGATTTTGTTCTTCATAGAGGATACTGACACTTTAGGTGCTGATAGCTCAAGCTAGAAAAGTGACTACTGATATTTATCTCCACAGGAATCATGTAATACAGGTCATACTGACATTCAAAGTCCAACATTCTAAGGTTTGGACAGAGCATTCTTGACAGTGAACTTTTGCTGGACTCGTAAATTCCTTACCTTTATCATGAGGGTAGGTGAATTTTTGTTAAGCAATAGATCACTTGAGTTAGAAGGAAGAAGCAAACTGTCTCCTGGGTCACATGCCCATAACTCACAATCTACCAGGCCTCTCTTTTACCCATTTTGTATGACCCACTGTGATATAAGATGTAACATTAGGGTTGGCTTTGGCATTTTATTTAAAAATAAATGTTTTGTTAAACTATAATATACCCACAGAATTCTAAAAGCTAGTGGCAAGATTGGGATGTCTTCTGAAGAAGATAGTAAGAGTTTTTGGTTAATTCACCGAGACCATTTTTTAAAGCCCATCATGTCTAGAAATCTTAATATGTTAGTGTCTTAAAATTAAACAAACCTAGGAAGTCAGACCCATGCTAACTAAACTCACAAAAAACACACATATTAACTAAAATGTCTTTGGACATTTGACATTGACAATAGCAATAGTACTGCCACAGTGACCAGGCTCCTGTGGTTGTAACCAGTACATTTTTTCCTGTAGGCAGAACAAGTCAGAAGTCAAATTATGAGCAGAAAGTGAGCACACAATGAAAACAGAGAGACGTATTTTTAAGAAATATTTTTATCCAGGACACTAAAGGCCTGAGGAGACTACTATTTATTTTTTCTCAATCATGAAACAACTCTCACACGTGACCACATACATGTTCTCATGTTCTTCCAAATTCAAACCATGTTTCTCAGGCAGTCTTGTTTACCAAACTTCGCCTCTCTGACACTCACGTTTTCTATGACACAACCCAAGTTCACACTTTCCTCCAGTGTAGTAAGATTGTGAAGGGAAGAAAAAGTCAGTACACGAAAATATTTATTAATGACAGGACCACTTATAAATTAATCTCCCACACAAACGTCCCTTCTTAACACCAATCTTCTCTCCTGCTTTCACAGTGGCAAACATTTACAATACAATGCAGTATATTCAATTATACTGCAAAGTAAAACTGCAAATTGTGCCAAAAGTGTAAGATTTTATGATGTCCGTGAAAGTAAGGTTGATACGGCCACTGGCAAATAGAGATTTGTAGAGTTAAACTAACATGTGAAGGTAAAATCAACAGGGAGGGTGACTATATTGCTGCTTCAGAAGAGAATACTCTGAATACAAAAAACTAATTGAGACCCTTGGGGAAACTGATGAAGCCCTCTAACATTTTTACAAAATGACCCTCTTTTTGATTATCCTGTAAAAGTCAAATATGAAATAAGGCATGTTGTAAGGTGTGTGGGAGAGAAAAACTAGTAACATTTCCTCCCTTATCACAAGGTTTATGGCTGACACTCCGATAACAAAAGACAGTTTAACAAGAGAAAAGTATCACAAATTTATTTAATCAAAGTTTTACATGACAGGGGAGCCTTCAAAAATGAAGACACAAAGACCCAGGGAAAACAGTATTTTAATGCTTAGGTGTGATGAAGGATGAACAGTCATGCTGAAGGAGGACTGGATACAAAGGAGGTATGGCCTAATGGTAATAAACTGGAAACTTAGCAAGGCCTGTTTGTTCAGATTCTCTTTGGCCTCTAGAGAGGGGCAGAACACCTGTCACATGAAGGTCTTCAGGTCAAAAGGCCGGAGGTCAGAGAATGACTTTGTTAGTTTTATGGCTTGCTTTGAGGAAGAGAAATTTCAGTTTCTATGATCTGTTTCAGGAGAGAAAATAGGAGTAGGGGAAGGTCAGAGAGAAATTCCTGCTTTCGTGGCTCTCCCAATCTCCTTTGGCTCAAAATACTCAGCATGTCAAGGTGCCATACATATGGGGGTATTGTGTTCTGGGCCCCAACAGGTGCTTTACATTTTGTAGAAAAATTAAACCAACAATAACTTTCTTGATTTATTCATTTTACAATTAGCACATAGTTGTACTTGCAACATAAATATTATTAAATACAGGCATACTTTGAAAATATTGCTGAGTTTGGTTCCAGCCCACTGCAATAAAGCAAATATCACAATAAAGTGGGTCATGCAAGTTTTTTGTTTCCCAGTGCATATATTTACCCTATACTATAGTAAGTGTGCAATAGCATTGTGTCTAAGAAAAAAACAATATACATACCTTAATTTTAAAATATTTTGCTACTAAAAATTGGTAACTATCATCTGAACTTTCAGCAAGTCATAATCTTTTTCCTGGTAGAAGGTCTTTCCTCAGTGTCAATGGCTGCTGACTGATCAGAGTGGGTTGCTGAAGGCTGGAGTGGCTGTGGCAATTTCTTAGAAAAAGACAACAATAAATTTTGTCACACTGATGCTTCCTTTCATGAAAGGTTTCTCTGTAGCATGCAATGCTGTTTGATAGCATGTTACCAAAAGTACAGCTTCTTTCAAAATGAGAGTCAATCTCTCAAACCCTGTGATTACCTTATCAACTCATTTTATGTATAATAATATTCTAAATAGTTTGTCATTTCAACAATGTTCATAGCATCTTCACCAGAAGTAGATTCCATCTCAGCAAAGAACTTTCTTTGCTAATCCGTAAGAAGCAACTTCTCATTCATTCAAGTTTTATCATGAGATTGCAGCATTTTCGTCACCTTTTTGGGCTCTACTTCTAGTTCTTTTGCTATTCTCACCATATCTGCAGTTACTTTCTCCACTGAAGTCTTGAACCCCTCGAAGTCACCCAGAAGGGTTGGAATCAACTTCTTCTAAACTCCTGTTAATGTTGATATTGTGACCTTTTCCACAAATGAATCACAGATGTTCTTCATAGCATCTAGTATGGTGAATTCTTTTCAGAAAGTTAATTTACTTTGCCCAGATCCATCAGAAAATCACTATCTATGACAATTATAGTCTTATGAAATATATTTCTTTAATAATAAGATTTAAAAGCTGAAATTATTCCTTGATCCACAGGCTGCATAATGGATGTAGTGTTAGCAGGCATGACAACATGTACAACTCCTTATATTAGAGCTCTTAGATGACCAGGTGCATTGTCAATTAGTAACATTTTGAAAGGAATCTTTTTTCCTGAACAGTACGTCTCAACAATGACCTTAAAATATTCAGTAAACCATCATATAAACAGATGTACTGTCACCCAGGCTTTGTTCTTCTATTTATAGAACATAGGTAGAGTAGATTTAGTGTAATTCTTAAGGGCCCTACAACTTCGAAAATGGTAAATGAGCATTGTCTTCAACTTAAAGGAACCAGGTGCACTAGATCCTAAAAAGAGAACCAACCTGTCATTTGAGGTTCTGAAGCCAGGCATTGCTTTCTTCCTCTAGCTATGAAAGTCCTAGACAGCATCTTCTTTCAATAGAAGGCTGCATCATCTACCCTTATCAATGATTTTAGCTCAGTCTTTTGGATAATTTGCTGCAGCTTCTACATTAGCACTTGCTCCTTCCCTTGTACTTTAATGTTATGGAGATGACTTTTTCCCTTAAACCTCATAAATCGACCTCTGCTATCTCCCAACTTTTCTTCTGCAACTTCCTCACTTCTCTCACCCTTCAAAACATTGAAGAGAGTCAGGGTTTTGCCCTGGATTAGATTTTAGCTTAAAAGAACGTTGTTGCTGGTTTGATCTTCCATCCACACCACTAAAACCTTCTCTATACCAGCAATAAAGCTGTTTTGCTTTCTTATCATCTGTGTGTTTACTGGAGTAGCATTTTTAATTTCCTCCAATAACTTTTTCTTTCCATTCACAGAGTGGCCAACTGTTTGGTGCAAAGCCCTAGCTTTTGGTCTATCTCGGTTTTTTATATACCTTCTTCGCTAAGCTTAATTATGTCTAGATTTTGATTTAAAGAGATATGTCACTCTTCCTTTCACTTGCACACTTAGAGGCCATAGTGGTGGTTATTAATTGGCCTAATTTCAATATTGTTGTGTCTTAAGGAATAGGGAGGCCTGAGGAGAGGGAGGGGAAAAGCCAGTTGGTGGAGTAATCAGCACGCACACACACACTAGTTATTAAGTTCTATGTCTTATCTGGGCACAGTTCATGGTGCCTCAAAACAATTACAATAGTAAAACTGATAACTGATCACAGATCACCATTATCAGATATAATAACAAAAAAGTTTGAAATACTGTGAGGATTACCAAAATGTTACAGACACACAAAGTGGGTACATGTTGTTGGGAAAATTGTGCTAAGACTTGTTCCAAGCAGAGTTGCCACAAACCTTTGATTTATATAAAAAAGCAGTATCTGCATGGCATAATAAAGCTATGTACAATAAAATGAGGTGTGCCCATACAGGACAGAATAAATGCATTTTAATAACATTGAGTTTTATTTTCAAATAAAGTCTCAAGCAAACCTTTCTTCACTGATTGGTCTGAAATTTGGTCCTTGTTTTAAGTGGATTTACTTTCAGGAGTACTAATCACACTGGGATAATAAAGACTTCCTATACTAATGAAGCAGAATTTTATTGGTGGAAAAAGCCTGATGCCTTGAATGTGTCTATTTACATATTAAGTTTTTACTATTTTATTCTTAAAATATCCTCATTTATTTCTAAGCTCTCCCGGGTGGGGGAATAATTTATTATTTACTCTAGGGTGTTTCCTATAGGATCACTTCCGAAGAGTGACATTACTAGAAGTAAAATGAGTACCTCCCAAGGTAATACTTGTGGAGAAGACAGATTTTGGAGTCAATTTGGAGGCAGTATTCCAATCTGCTTTTACCACTTACTAGACCCATGGCAATGAGCAAATTACATGCACTCTCTAAACTTCAGTATCTTCATCTAAAAAAATGGAGCACTAATAGCTCCCTCACAGGATTGTGGAGATCAGAGGTATGTGTAAAATGCCAGGTACAAAGAAGGTAATGAGTAAGTGGTAGTGATAACAGTGCAGTTTATTTTGGTTTGCTGAACTGCCAAAGTTCTCTTGTGATCTTAATTTGTTGATTACTTTGTACATTTGGATACCTTGCATGTGTTTTGCAATGTGAATCTTGGGTCTCTAGGCTATGAAAAGTAGCTAAATATAACTAATATTGAAAATGTGCCTTTCAGAATGCCTTGCTGCATAAATCTCTTAAAATGAATCTAAAATATTCTACAAAGCTTGGAGCAAAGATCATAATGAGGTTTGCAGTATTTGCTTTGTAAAATTTTGGTTGAGTCCTTTTGCAAGTCAGATGGCTGATGGTTACATGGTTTCGAAAAGTCTCAATGGAAGCCCCCTCCTCCGGCCCCACCCAAGCAATTTTTGTAAACATATATTGACTTAAAGCTGAGGAACCCCATTTTTCACCATACAAAGTTCAGTGTAGAACAGTGTGGGGAGTGAGATGCTCTTGGATTTGAATCCCTGCTTGACCACTTCCAGGTTGTGAGACCTTGATCAACTTATTTAGTACTTCCAAGCCTGGGTATCTTCATCCATAAAGTTGGGGATAATAAAAGTGCAAACCTTGGGGCTGTCCTTAAGATTAAATGAGACATTGCATATAAAATGTTTATGTACATATGACACATTCCAAGTGCTTAATAAATGGTAACTATTATTTATAAAATCTTGAAACTCACGTTAACTGATACGTCCTGTTTTGTTCAAAAATGGTTATAATGTGACACACATAAGTTCACTTGAGTCTCAAGTACCAAATTACATGGTTGGTCTTGCCTCACCTTTTGCCTCTAGTTTTTCTATACCCAAGTTCCTTTCCTTTCCCTATTATTCGTGAACATGTTTTTTGCCCTAGTGTTTCTCAATGGCTCCTGCCCATCCCCGAGTTGAAATAGCATGGGGGTCAGAGGAGAGACCTTGTAACAACCTAGCAAGGGGTTTCTACCTTTCCTCTATCTCCAAGATCCAATAGTATATTCTCCTAATGGTCCTATTAGTTTACGTAGCTCAAGTGGGGAGACAATGATAGCTAATATTTAGTCACCTAATAGTGTCAGATACTATGCTAGGTGAGTTATCAAAGATATTCTGACTCTTCATAACAATTAGACAACGTAGATGCCACTATTTCTGTTTCTGAGATGGGTAGGTAGAAGTTCTGACCCAGTAATTCCCTCAAAGTCATGCAGCTAGTTAGCTGGCGGCGTCCTTGCACATCTAATTGCAGATGCGTCTGCATCTACATTGGAGTAAATGTACTAATTATACTCATACAATGAATGCTATGAATCTGGCCAACAGAATTCCAGACACTAACAAGTAAATAAATCAGGCTTTCCTCAATCCCAGTAACTCCTGTTTAATATTCCTCGGCAAATACTGAATTTCAATCTGTGCTTGTTTCATAGAGTAAAATCTTTCAAATGTTGTGTTATCGAGTCCTACATAGTCAAAGGGAGGGAAAGACAAGGAGGGTGATTAGGTGAAGTGTTTCTTCCATTACTGGTAGAACGGTTTCTCATCTCAAGCACCGAATTCTGCAATCATTCCAAAAGTGGAAGCTCAGCTCACAGTGCATTTTGGGGAAGTTTAAACCACACTAACCATTTAAGGTCAAGCAAACAATTGGCCAACCCTAACGTGTACTGTGCAGGGTTTTTATCTCAGATGTAACAGATCTCTGTATGTCTACATCCCAACTCCAGAAAACGAGAAATCGAGTTCCTCCTCTCACCATCACAGCTCTGCAGACAACTCGCTGGAGACCCCATGGTGAGCCTCACGTAAAGGCCCCCTTGCAAGCTGCCAGCTCCAGCCTGCCTCCCACATCTACCTAGGCTCCCTCTAGCCTCTTCATCGCACACTCGAGCAACAGGCCCCTCGCAACCACCTCTAGCCTCCGGACTCCAGACCGGGTCTCCCGCTCGGGGTCAGAAGGTGGCGCGGGAGGGCGGCGGCGGCGGCGCCTGCGGGGCGGGGCGGGGACTGTGCGCAAGTAGGGGGCGGGCGCAGGCCGCGGTCTCGCTCCGCTCCCCTTTGTTCTCGCCCATTGTGTGGCACTTCCTCCTCAGGCGCTTTTCTGCACCCTGCCAGTCTGTGGGGAGTTCGGGAACCGGCCCTGGATGCCTTTTCTGCTTGTTTTTGAGTACGTGAGGACCTCCCCGGCACCGCCACGCGTGGGTCCCCCTTGCCCCGTGCCCAGGCGGAGGCGAGGTGGCCAGTGTCCTCCTTTCCCGCTCCGCGCCCTCGGCGGCTTTCCCGCGGCCCCCTGCGCCGCGCCCCCTCCAGGAGGCGTCCTGACCCCGCAATCCGGACTTTCACCTCCCGACCGCCAGCCTCAGCGCCGCCGCGGCGACGCGCGACCCCTCTGAGGGGCGCGGGCTCCGGACGCACCGGGCTCCGCCAGGCACCTAGTCGAGGGTCGGAGGCCGGCGACCAGCCCGAGCCCATCCGCCCTGGCGTCCCGGGAGCTGGCGCGAGTGTCGCCGCGACCCTCCCCGTCCCTTGCGCTCGCGCTCCCCGGCCGCCCGGCGGCCGCCTCAGCCCCCTTATATAGCCCTCTAAAAATAGCTCGCCTCGCACCGCCTTGTAAGGCAGCAGGGAGATCCGCAGCGTGCCAATCCGCGCCCGCCGCCAGGGCCAAGCCCCGCCCCAGGCCCCGCTCCGGGCTCCCCATTGGTCCTCAGTGACTTCATGAGCCCCCTGTTTACCTTACATGGTCACACGCGGCCTAATGGACGCCCTCCTCCGAGATCCCACGGCTGCGCGGGGAACCGGGCGGAGGGAGGGAGTTTGGGGAGGGGGAAGAGCAGGAGGAGGAGAAAAGGGAGGGGGAAGACTACAAACTAGCAAGGATGGAGTGGGGGGTGGGGAGGGAAGGGAAGGGGGAGAGAGAAGCGATCGCGAGAGAAAAAAATGCAACCTCCCAAAATAAAGAGCAAAGATTGCATTAGGAGCGAACAGCGCTGCAGAAATAGATGGCAGCTTCGTGTCAGTGAGTTTGCATCCCCCTTCCTGATCCACGAGCTGGAGTGATTAGAGCCCTGGAAGGGAATTGTTACTCCCGTGGAGAAGTCCCCTTTTCCTGGCAGTCGTCTGCACTGTACACGCTGGATGCCTCTCTCCATCCACCCCACTCACTCGCTCCTCTCTCACCTCCTCTCTCCCTCTCCTGCATTGATTTTTTTTTTTTTTTTCCTTTTTAGTTGACTGAAACAAAACAAAACAAAAGGGCCACTGGATGTCTGCCTTCTTGGGGGGTGAGCCAGACAGACTGACAAACAAACAGCCCCAACTGTGTTCGGGGGAGGGTTTTGCCTCCCGTTTTGCCCGGCAGCAGCAGCATGGACGTGTTGGCTAGTTATAGTATATTCCAGGAGCTACAACTTGTCCACGACACCGGCTACTTCTCAGCTTTGCCATCCCTGGAGGAGACCTGGCAGCAGGTGAATGATTTAAATTACTTGTGTAAATCGTGTGGTGGCGGCGGAGACGCAGGGGCCGCGTTGGTGTGGGCTCTGGGTCGAAATTTTTGTTTGTTTGTTTGATTTTTTTTCCTTCCTTTTTGGCTGTCTGTTGTTGAAAATGTTTTCTGAAACAGTCATCTGCGCTTACCTCTCCACCCACCCCTAACCTCGTAGTGTGCCGAGCTGAGCAGCCGGTCCGAGCTGCCTGCGTTTCAGTCGCCAACACACATCCCTGCGCACACGTTGTCGGGTTTGCTGTCCCTTATCAGAGACCTGCCGAACTTCTGGGGTTCGGAGGAGCCGGGTGGGAAGGTGGTTTGGGGTGTTAGGAGCGATTGCTGACAGGGACCACGTTCTCGCATGCATGAGCTCTACCCACTTGGTACCTGAAATCAGGTTCATCTATTTCAACTGGTGCTTACGACCATCGGATGGGGGGCGGGGGGAGGGTGGGCAGGAGCAAAGCGGAGTGTTTTTCAGTAATTAGCGAGTGTCAATAAAGAATAGGAGTTTGATTTTGAGATTAGAAGGTAGGCAAAAGAGAAAAGAGCCCAGTGACAAAAGATACTCAAGGAGGACGGGAAGATGTAGCTGAGGCTGACAATGCATTGTAGGTTTTCCAAGTGTGATGCCTCTATGCGTGTCCTTGTTTCTTTTTTTTGCTTAGGGTCCTTCTCTAGTTAGGCAGCACAACCTCAGACAAAGACTGATGTGTGCTTCCATGCCTCTGACTGTCTTAGAGGACTAGTTAAGAAACTCCTAGGATGCTGAAGGGCACCGATGCCAAGTTGGCTAGCCGTCCCAGGGAGGATGAAGCGGGGCTGGTGACAAGTTCACTGGGCTTTGTGAAGTGGAATAAAGAAAGTGCTGGTCAGTGGAAAGTGCTGGCTCTGCTGCGGAAACAGTGGTTTTTTTCAGCAGCGATTAGGAGCTGCTGAGGGGACATTCTGCAGGAAAGATGGTGGGTGGGGGCAGGGGGACACGGGTATTTAAAAATTCTACAGTGTGCACCATGGAAAGTCCAAGAAGACAGTCCGGATTTGCACATAGGAAGTGTGAACTTGTACAGTCCGTCCTGGAGAAACCCGCTTGCCCTTGAGGGGAGGGCTGTGAGAGACTCGGTGTGTGGCTGCTCATGTAACTTCTCCGCTTAGTGACAGCAGCTTGTTAAGGCTAATGAACGGCTGAATTTCCTCTGCCGGGATCCAAAGCAGGATTTGCCAGCTTGAGGCTGAGATGTAACAGTCGCTGCTTCAGCAAAAGAGGCTTGGCTTTTGGTATAAGGAGCTGAGTGGCAAAGCGGATCCTCTAACTGGACCATTGTTACTAGTTCTCTTCTGGTCAGAGGCTGTGAGTTTTCCTCCAGGTATTGGCCTCTGGTGTCAGTGTGTCCACACATGCGTTCCTGTCCAAGGACGCTGGCAGATGCTTGACTGTCTCTCTGTGAACACATACACAGTTCACATATTTTTAGCATAAAGTCTTTATTCGATGCATCCTTATCCTTAACGAGAGTGTATCTCATGAAAGGCCTCACTGGATCTTTTTCTTCCTTTTATTTCCGATGCTAATTAAACCAAAATGTTGCCTGAATTTCATTTTCTGAAATAGCCTTCATTTCACACTGTCAGCCCACTGGTGTGGAATCGGTTGCATATTAACAACTGTCTAGACAGGTTAGAGAAGGGAATCTGTTGATTTAGTCAGCCTGCCCAAGGCAGCCCTTGTTTGTGACTAACTGTTAAGCAGTGTTAGAAGGAAGAAAGTTGGCTTTATTTGTTAGAACGTTCCCTACTGATGAATCATGCAACTTTGTTTTGGTTCAAGTTTTCAGAGTAGTAAAGCCAGATTTGGAGGAAGGTCTCTTCACAGGAAACCTGCTTTTCTAGATCTGGCTAGACCATCCAGGACAAACTCTAGATCACTAGTTTGACAATTAGAGGATGTATTAGATCTATTGTTTCCTAAGAAGCCATCTCTGCTCTTCCTTTTCCCCTCCTCCCCCTGCTCCTCTGCCTCCTCTCCCTTCAGGGAAGCTCTAGTTCAGTTTCTACAGGCAAAGGATTTTTCACCCCTCGGAACCCCCTCACTTCTTGCCTTAACCCTCTCTAACTGCCAGCCACTCTCACCTTAAAACCCTTAGCCAACTTATTCAGCGGCATGCTTATAGCCAATACTGATGCATAACTTGTGGGGAAGCACTAATAAACAATATATCACTCCAGTGAGCTTTATGCTCTGGACTCCGTAGTCTCAACTGCTCTATATAAAGGCGACTACAACCATAGGTTTACCCTGATGACAAAACCTTTAGCCTCTATCCCTTCCTTCTTCCCCCTCCCCAAACCGTCTTGCTGCTTCTGAGTATAAGGGGTGGTGATGGTGATATGCAGCTGTTAGTTCCAAATCAACTATCAGATGATGAAATTTTGAGACTCTTTTGCTCAAAACAGCTCAGCAAGATTTCTGCAAAGAACCCCAGACAGGAAGAAGTTTCCTTATGCTCTGGGGTAATCAGATTTTAGAGGTCAAATGAGGAGTAATTATTAGTTGTTGTTCTTAAAGTGAACAATGTACCTGGGCTCGTGGAGATGAGCGAAATGTGGAGATTCTGATAATCTGACTTGGTTTCTAAAGAAAGAGTGGCTTCGATGATAAACTCAAGAACATTTTTACATTTGAAAATTGAAGATAAATGATTTGGGGATTTTATTTTAAACTTAGGATATGGGATAATTGTCCTGCCTAATAGTCAGTGAGCCTGTGACAAAGTCACTGACTGTGGCAGGGCCACCTCCTGTCAGGGAGATCCTCATTTTGACATTGGATTTTCTGGCAATGATGCCTTAGCCACATAGCTCCAAGTCTGAAAATAATTGTTGCTGGTATAATTCTGAAATCCAAATGGACGTCACACATTAACAGCTCTCCATTCCTGGGCTCTGACTGCATACTTAAGCACTTGGCCCAAGTAACATCATCTTTCTGCCTGTCATATAACTGTAAATTACACTGTGCTCATGTGGTCTATTATTTTATAGAATTCAGCTGACGCACAATTCTTAAGACTACCAGCCTTAAGCGCTTTGAAAACTTGTAGGAAAATTTCCAAGAGCTGTCTGAGCAAAAGTAGGAAAAGGTCAAGGGTAGGACAGAAACCAGAGTTTCTTAGGGGGTACCACTTGATATGGGTAAAGGGAAACTCATTCATGACTTTTTTTGCCAATAGAAATCATGATTTTGTTTTTAGACACACTGCTGACTTAGAAAATAAAAAGAATATGATACAATGCTTTTATTTTCTTCTAGAATATATAAAGACTTTTAGAACTTTTATATATTCTGTCTCTAGTCTGCTATTTCATTAGTGCAGGTCAAGCAGTGATGATCTAAGTCTTATTTGGACTTAGCTTTGCATCGTGTCATTGAGGAGCATCTCATGTTTGCTTGAAAAGTCTTATGGAATTATGTTTATTGTTAATGCTGATTCATAATTGGCAGCTGGGGTCAGTTTCAGGTCTCTCTTTGCTGGGAGAAAATTTTCCACTGCTACTGGAAACAAATAAATAAATCATAGAACATTCCTCTCTCCTCCCCCATTCCCCTATTGTTTTAAACTAATGGCATACTTGGCTACTGCAAGAACTAAAGTGTCCCCATAACACTGCAATTTCATCTTGGTTTCAGGCACCCTGAAAGAATTTTTACGAGGGCCTTTGGTATAAGGAATCTCTAGGGGAAAACCTACAGAAATGGTTGCATTCCAAGAACAGCCTCATGGTACCAGGGATGGGATTTGGTCTGTGAGCCACATTGCTTCTCCTTTTATGTGAAGATCTTGCCTTTGCACTTCCTTCTGCAGGCCTGGGCCACCAGGTGCTGTATCAGCCAGAAGACAAAGCAAACTGTAGGGTCTGTCCATCCGCAGGTTTGCCTCTGTCCCCAGTTCGCAGAAAACCTTGTCATGAATTAGAATTTCTTGGCAACAGCACCACCCAGGGAAATTTGTAGACACAAAGGAGCCTTGCTAGCCACACTCAAAGGATAAAATAACTGGCTTTTTTTTTTTTTTTTGTATGTGATTTGTGTGTTCTTCAGTTACTGTAAATCTGTTTCTTTATTTGAAACGGCAACTTGGTAGATGAAATAAAAATATAACTGCCCCTGTTATCCAGAATGTATCTTTATAAAGATGCAATCACTAAATAGATGTAGCTCTACAAATGAAAGCACATGTGACTGCAATCAATCACACTTAGCCTTTCTTTAATAGATTCATTTCCATGTTCCTTTAATAGACACATCTTTGTATAGATTTAGGGGCTCTCAAACATTATCATTCAGTCTACCTGTTTGCAGTTTGG